AAAGAGCTTGGTTTAAATTCAAAGAGCCTGGTTTAAATTCAAAGAGCCTGGTTTAAATTCAAAGAGCTTGGTTAAATTCAAAAAGCCTGCTTTAAATTCAAAGAGCCTGGTATAAATTCAAAGAGCCTGGTTTAAATTCAAAGAGCTTGGTTTAAATTCAAAGAGCCTGGTATAAATTCTAAGAGCTTGGTTTAAATTCAAAGAGCCTGGTTTAAATTCAAAGAGCTTGGTTTAAATTCAAAGAGCTTCACCCTTATTCACCCTTATTCACCCTTGTACCTTCTACCGTCTACCTTAAATATGAAGGCAGTTCCTTACCTTAACGATATCTAGAGAGAAGAAAAGAGCTGAAAAGACGGAAAATGGAAGAAAAACAAATAAAGTTTAGCGAATTTTGTGGCTGGCGCAGTAAAAGCATACGAATCGCCATCTCAACATTTATTTGTCTCATTCTGGTATTTTTTTCATCTTCTTTTGTTGTTGTCTAATTTGAATTTTCACACAACGTTTTTTTTTTACAAATACGCTGATCACAAAATGTCACATAATCTTATTTACAAATCCCCTTAATTAGACACACATTCCTCTGCATTTTTTGTTCATTTGGTTTGCAGTATGTTTGTTTTTCTTCTAGTTTTCAATTTAAAACATATTTTTGTTGTGTTTAAATATCCGCTTATAAAATTACAAATAAACTCCATACTTGTCCAAGAGAAAGAAAAATAAATTCAATTAAAAACGAACAGAAAACAATGAATAAAGAACGATAGCCCAATAGAAAAAGGAGGCTACTAATATTCAATAAAGTGGTGCGAAACCATGAAATGAATGTGAAACAATGAAATGTTAAGAAATTGTTCGATTTAAGTTGTCAATGGATAAAATAAAAAGTGAAATGCCATCATTTCGATTCGCAGTCTGGCGTTTATCATCATTATCGTCATTCAACTTAGAAAAAAACATTTGTTTTTTTCAAAACACACACAATTTCGCTTATTCTTTTATTCGAATCCTTCCTTTGTTTGGTTTAAGGTCCACGCAACCGATTCAAAAATGTGCAAAACCATAGGATTCATCGAAACTAAAAATGAATTGAAAGTTGTTTCATTTTGTTTGTCCTCTCAAGATCACAATTATTTTGAATAAAATGCATTTTATTGTTTTTCTTCGGTTTAATTTTAATAGTTTTTTATTAGGCTTTTTTTCTGAAAAGCGAGAGCGCCATAATATGTGTAGTGAGTGATTGTGTTTATGAAATTTTAAGTAACGATGAAAGAAAAAAAATAATGATTTTTTCAGTGCATAGTAGCATGTAAAGATAGCGTATGCCATCAGTGGCGAATAATTGCGCATTTTAAAAGCATCTGAAGTGGATTTGGTTATTTTTTTGTGTGGTTCTCACTTTCAATTTCTTTCACCCTAACATTTGACCCTTGCGTTCCGTTTTTTGTTGTTGTTGTTGCTGTTGTAGTAAATTATTAAAATTGTTAGCCTTTTTGCTTTTCTTTAAATATTAATTGTTTTTCTTTTTTGATTGAGAACGCTCATTTTCTCCATAGTTTATCTGCTTTGAATTAGCGCCGCATTAAAAATATCATCCAGCCTATTTGTTCATCCAAAGTTTGCATTTGGTTGTGGTTTTTTCTCATTGTTGCTCTCTGCTTCTCACTTACTTAATTGACTATAAGTTAGTCTTTGATAAATTCTCTTTGGTTCGTACGGTGTATGTATTGTGTTGTGTCCCCGTCGTTATCTCTCAATGATCTCAATATGGTTTTAATAATATATATTTTTTCATTTTAAATATACATCTATTCAACATCATAAATTTTGTCTAATGATAACAAGGTGTTATATATATATTATTGGTTGAGCGGTTCTCGATCCAGATACACACACAGAATATTGAATTCCATAGGAGAAAAAAAGGGGGGCGGTGTGGACTGTAGGATTTGATGGTGTACGATGCACAATAGGCCAATTAATTCTATTGGATTCAGAACTTTTTTTCTCTACTGGAAATAAAACCAATTCTCTCACATTTTAGCTTTATAATCAAACTCTGTTTTTTCTCCATTTTTTTGGTAGTTGTTTTTTTTTTGTTGTTTTTCATAAAATTTATTAAATTACAGCACAATTTGTATAATAATATAAATTTGTTTTTTTTTTGTATCTTCTTGTTTTTATATTTAATCCATTATAAATATGTTGCATGGTTTCTCTCATTCATTTAGCTGTGTTTCATGCGATTGTTTTTATTTTTTTGTATTTTGTGAAAATCTATGTAGCTTTGCGGTGTGTTTTGTGAATTTATTTCTGTGAATCTACTTAGATTTTATGCACGTTTTCTTTTATCGTTCTCTTTCAACATTTCTATACATCTCTTCGCGTTGCTACACGAGCAAATAAATCAAACACTAAATCTGCTATTGGGCAGTGAGCAAAAACCAAAACGCTTTCGTCTCACTTTCGAGCATTTAATTAGCTTTGAATTTATTCGTGGCAGCAATTTTAATTGTTTTCATTACAATTCCAAATACGGTATTTTAGTTTTATAATAATTTCTTCTTTGTTTCCTATCAAAATGATTCTCTGTTTTTTTTTTGTTTAAATCTTCTTTTTTTTCTACAATTTACAAGACTGATTCAATTTGATTGAATCCTTTATCGCCATTTTTGTTGGAATTTTCTTTGGGAATCGATTGCTTTCGTTCGTGCTCCTCTTCAATGGTCACCTCGGATATTGTCGGTTCGGTGGCTGATGGTATTGAGTTGCCGCCATACTTTGGCGCTTCATCGGGATTCACATTTGATGTGGGCGGATTATCAGTTGTCGGACTTGGCGCTGTGTGCATTATTTTTGGAATCATTGTTATCGGCTGATCATCATCATTCGCTTCATCCTCCGAGGGTTCTTCGTCGATCGGTGTCAATTGTTCCATGTGCACCGGAATTTCATTTGGCTTTGTACAACTGGATGTGAAACGAAGGAAATAATTTGAAAATTTGATTGACGTGGAAGAATGAATAGATAGACATTTTTTTCAAAAAAAAAAAAAAATGACATGAAAAAAGTTCGTACCGTCTGAGTGATGGAGCAAGAAAACTGGTGACTGTTGAAATGGCAAAGAATCCGGCGGCCATGAAGAATGGGATGTCATAGCTGTTGGTTGCATCGTAAACAGCACCAGCCATTGGAGAGCCAACGATTGCAGCAGCACCTCTGAACAAAATCAATAAGCCAAAAGCATTGGTCAGTCGGTCCAAACCCAGTAAATCAACTAATATGATTGAAGTCAACGAAATGTAGCCAGCTATAGGTACAAGAGAAAATTATCAAATTGAATGGATTATTCAAAAATGGCTTACTAAAACCAAAACCAAATCTTATTAAAACGAAACAAAAACAGCTCAAACTTACAAATTGCGAGTCCAAAGAATATCGACATGATGACATAGTGCTCGTACGATGAGCAGAATGGTGTTGCAGCAACGGCTATCGTTGAAACCATCAAGCATATGTTGTTGAGTAACAGAGAGTCAACTTGCGGGAAATCCGCAATGTAACCGCAAAAAACACGACCAAATGTGTTTGTTATACCAATGATTGATATCAAAAACGATGCTGAATTAGCTGGAATACCCTGTGAACAAAAATGAGAGAATCCATTTCATTGGTAACAATGGAAATTCACCAGATTTAAATAAAACTTATGTTTTTTTCGAAACGGAAATAGTTTTTCACTTACATTCAAGCTGGCTGCATCGACTAAATATACGAATGGCACATATAGACCAGCCATCCCGAACAGATTTGAAATACCGATTAGCATGAAAACCGGGTCCTTCAACAAGCTGACATCTAACATAGTGCTTATTGCCGATTTGAACGATTCAGGTAACACTAAGCATGGACAGAGATCATATTCTGTCGATAGAAAAAGAAGACATTTTTTTGTTGTGAAATCCTCTGACTGTTGTTGATTGATGAAGAAGGCCAAAGTAAACAGGGGAGAAAAAAAACTTACGTTCGCCTTTTTCAACTTCGCTGATTCCGTCACGTGCATCTCGCGCATCTTTCTCATATTTGGTCAGTGAAATCACTGAATTACGGTAATTGGTGAGCGATTTTTGCGATTGATACTCACGCAAATTGGTAACTGAACCCGAATAGAAAATATCTTTGCGCGATAATGGACGCACCATTTTGCCAGTCTCACGTGGCGTCAACGACATACGTGATTGATACATCGATTCACTATCCTGTTTAATCAAAGTATATAAAGTTTATTATTTGTGAACGAAAAAAAAAAATAGGCGGAGATGAGATATGGACAAGCGAATTAATATGAAATGGGAATTTTGAACCAGATTTCTTCTTAATTTTCAATTAATTTGTTAGTCAATGTGGTTAAATGAATGCAAAAGTATTAAACGATTATTTGCATTATTACACTTGCACAAAAATTGGCAGCACTTTTATTCTGATCATCCAGAATTCGGCCAGTAAGTTCGAACTTTTACTTCTGAAGTTCCGGTTCAGTTTCGAAAAATCGGACATAAAAGTTCCGCTCGTTTTTGTGTGAGCGCAATAATGATATGTCTATCCATCAATGTGCATGTATATTTCAATGATGAATGAAACGATAGTTAATCACAGTCAACGAACATATTCCGTTACAAGGCATCCGGTTTCATCCGTTTTGTACAATCTCTTTTTTTTTTCGACAGAAAAGTCGTTGAAATCCGTACTAATTTACATATAAACCAATTCAACTAAAAGTCTACTTCAATTCAAACTAAATACACGATCAAACTAAAAGAAAACAAGAAATCCAAAAATTCCAACTGAGGATTATTTCAAGAAAAGTTTTCAAACTAAATAGTTAACACTTCCCAATTCTAAACTAATGAGAGAAAAAAAATAGTTGAAAAAATCTCACTAACGCCGTCACTCGTTGACATATGTGATTTACTGCCTGCAACAAATGAACCGATCGACGTTCTTAAATGATTTGATTTACGTACTTCACCATTGTCCATATCATTGCGTGAGGATGCTTTGATAGCGGCCAATGATGGTTTGAATCGTTCACTGGTGGATGTTTTGCGTACGCGATCGAATGTTGGAACGGAGCCATTTTTCGGTAATCCTTGATGGTGTGATGTGAATGCTGGTTGAGAAGCATTTCTTGGGATATTCTTAGTGCCAAACTCAATGGGTGCATCGGATTCGGAGTTACGATGAGTGCGTGCGGTGCGACGAGGTTTGGCATCACTTTGGCTATTCGAGTCGGTATTATTTTGTGCATTACCATCTTGTACTTTTTGACCTTCGGTAATGGTGGGCAATGTTGCAACCGGGTGCAAACTACCTTGTTGAGCTAGCTGATCGAGATTCAAGCTGGAGTGCACACCCGGATCGATATTAATTGGCATTTTCATACGTTTCTCCATTGATCCATCCGGCAATTGAACCATAAAATACGATCCACCGATCGAACGACGCTCCATTTGTAAACGCTTCTCCTCGTACATGCGTTGCATCAGCGGCTTCACTTTACTGGGTTTAGGATATCTACAAATGGACCCCCGGAAGAAGAGACAAAAAAAAAAACAAGTTGAAATTTGGTTTTGCAACATTTATCGATTAGATGCATGTAACTCCGAAAATTTGTTCTTCGATTTTTGCAATTCACCCAAAATTCAATAATTTTGGAAAATATTGAAATTAACTTACGTTAATGGTCTCATGAGAGCACCGAAAATTGCGCAGTTCAAAATTAAGCCGGCCAAAATTAAATTGGCATTTTTCCAGTCAAAGTGCTCAAGCAACAGGTTTGCCAGCGGTGCGAATGTAAATGTACCGAAACCTAAAATCAATGCACATTTTATTTTCATTAAGTAGATGCGATTGTGTACAAAATGGATGTATCATTTTCGTGTTGTTTTTTCGATGCTTCAATCTATACCAACCTGAGCCACACACAGCAATTCCGGTAGCTAGCGATCTTTTCGTTTCGAAATAGTAGCCGACAGCAACAACAGCCGGTAAATAAATTAAACCAAAACCAAAGCCACCGATGATACCATATGTTATCATCAGCATGTTCACCGATGTGCTGAACGTACTAAGCACAAACGCCGCCGACGATATTAAACTTCCAGCTATGCAAACCGCACGACAACCGTATTTGTTTGCCAGCGCTGATACCACAGGACCTGCATCCAATAATATATAGAAAATGTTTTGAACATTAGATGAGAAGGTAATTTATTTTCGCCCAGATGCACAAATTCAATTGACGTGTAATTTGCACATCACATGCATTTCTTTCTTCTTTCCGTACCTGCGCTCAGATAGACACCACTCAAACAGCTACCGACCCACGCAACTTTACCCTTTCCTTCGCCGAAATAGCTCACAAATTCCATCAGGAACACACCAAACGTATACGCTATACCATCAACGATCATATTACACATGAACGATGCGAACACAATGACCCACCCATAGCTATATCATTTAAAACAGAAATTTGTAAAGAACAACAAGACATTTTGGTTAGAAACAATAAAATCACATGCACTTCATATTGAGACGACCTTTTCATCTTATGTTTATTAATTTTTGCAATAACAGCATTCTTTGAAAACTCGATTGGAAATTTGTTTAAAAGCTCAATTAAAGAACATTGTCAATGAATCAGGTCATTCAATAAATATTATGCTCAATTATTTCGAATATTTGCGATTTTTCGTAATTTTTCCACAAAAATTCTATTAAAACGTCGAACAAAGAAAAGAACGTATATGAAGAAAACTAACCCTCCGTCTGGCGGTGGCGGCATGTCATGGTAATCACCCATTTCTTCATCATCATCAGGAGTATTTTCATCTTGAATATCAGCCGTTAATCGAGCAGCTTCCTCGCATGCCACTTCGCTGTCAGTCTGAAGAATAGGAACGAAAATAATAATAATTTAGCGAACTGTCTAATCAAATGATATATTGATGATGGCGTTAAGCAAGTACAATTTCAGTAAAGGAGGAAAAAATAACAAAATCGACACAACTGTAGCAGTTTGTGTAATCTTTTTAAAATTGTGATAAGAACCAAATCGACTGCTCGTTTTTTTTTTTTACAGTGTAGACACCATTGTAAAAGTATTGTTTTTCGTTTAAATTATAGCGTCAATTAAGGCGGCCAGCAATTATTACCAACAAGTGGCAACGAACAATGTTTTGACATGTCAAAATGAATTTAATGCAAAAATAAGAACGATGATTTCATTTGATAGGTTTGAACGAAAGTGTGATTGGTATCTGATGACAAGTCGTTGCACTTGAATCACTTGATTATGTGCAAATTGTTTCGGAATTAACGGAACGATCGCCGATTTGGTTTCGATCAATGCTTGCAACAAAGCAAGTACTTTTTGATAGATTCAAACTAATTGTTGGCGCTTTGTATCGAGCTACCACTTCACAACAAACAAAGCCATAGCCATCGTTGAATGTATTTATCGATAGCATCGATAGTACAATCATTTCGTCATATATGGTGCCACGACAATCTTATCTTGAGTGAGTGAGCTCTAAATTTACTCTTTTTATTATACTTGATTTTCCCTGATTTCTTCACTCTACTACACAAAATTCAAGCCATTTTTTCGTCGTTCTATATAATTCAAAAAGTTGTTTGTTTGATGCAGAGTTTGAATTGAATTTTGTAATTCTTCAATAGTATTCTTATTAAGTTATTATACTATAATTGAATAGTCATACACTAATTCTTGATTATGCATTTGATTCTAAAAAAAAAATTAACTAGTTGATAAATGCAAAAAAAAGTTTCGTCAAATTTTGAAAAATTTCGACAGAACATCCTTGGTTGTTGCAGCACGGTTGAAAATTTCGCGTTCATTTTTCATCCGTTGAAATTCAAATTGCGTTTGATGTACGTGCTGATGAATGAATGTGTATTTTTACATGCCGTATTTATTTTAATTTTAAACTTGTACAAATTATTATCGATTCGATTTAATTGTGCCAATTGTCGCATTACGACACACATACACATACACACACACACACACACACACACATGGGCTCACATATTCAGGCAACGACAATAAACTCACAAATTATGAGTATTTTGCTCAGCTGCAACCGAACAACGTCGATAATTGTTCGGGCAAATAAAACGCACCAAACAAAAATAGAAACCAAAACTATAATAATTTTGCTACTCGTGCAGTACAATTGAACGCGTGTTATGGGAGAGACAGATAAATGAATAAAAGCAGAAAATGTCATTATCACTTAATGCCATAACGTTCATTTGCTCGCATCAAATGCTAATTGCTGCCATATGATGGATTTTCAGTAAGTTCAGCTTGCCACATTAATGTTATTCTTCATCATTTTTTTTTTTCGTAGTTTCGTTTTCCGTTCACATATTCTGGCTATTCGATATTGTATTTGAATTTAAAACTACTTTCAGCCATCGCAATACTATATTGACTGATTTCAATTTAATGTGCTTTCGACGTTTTGTTTTTAATTTATCAAAAAAGGAAGAAAAAAAACTGGTTTCTCGGTGTCGAGCTCAATTAGCTATTTGAATGACGAAAAAAACAACAAAGTTTTGATCGAAGAGCAAGAACGCTGTAGTACGCACAATGCCCTTTATCAAAAGAAAAAAAAAAAACAAAAACGTTTCGTCTCGCCCTTTATTTCAGTTAGAGTTTTGTTTATGCATTTCGAAACACAAAACCATTTGATGAGTCCAAGTGTTAATGCCAACATTGATCTATTTATTTTTAGTTTTCTTCTTCTTTTTTTTTTTAAATGTACTTTCATTAAGACTCATTTATTTGCATGGTGTTTTTGAAACATTTCATCGGGATGACAATATTTTTTAATTGATTTCAATTGAACACTCGGCCAGTCAGTCAAATTGCAACAAATTTTTTATTTATTCATTCGTTCGTTCATTTATTCCGCAAATTATTTTATTGCACTTTCGTTCGATTTTATGCACTTATTGCCATTTACATGGATAGACGATTCCGGCAGATTTTACACTCTTTTTACGATTAAAAGGATTAATGACCATTCAAATCATTTGTTCGGTTGTTTCTGGAAATTTTACACACTGGCTATAAATATCCATTGATTTGATTCTCTTTTCTTTACTCGAATTTATTTCGTTCTCGTATTTTCGGTGTTTTGACGAGCAAATCAATTGACCCAATCAATTTATTAACTGTTTTAATTGATGCGACTAAGTGGGAATGGAGATCTTATTGAAAACAAGGAATAAATCTTTACACTTTACGCAATACAACACGCCTTCCTTTTTATTTATTTGTCTTTTAATTCTCGCCACTTATGACGCATTTGTTTTGACTTGTAATTGCATGTACATAAATCATAACAAAAATAATAATCCGCCCACGACAGAGCAACAATCATAAGCCGATAAATACGCTGAATTCCTTTGCATATCATTTCAACGCGGAAAACAGTCACGACTCAGCAACTTCCTATGTTTGGTTTTCTCTCCGTATAAAAGTGTATTTAAATCTTAGAAAATAGTACAAACGCAAGCATAATTACCGTTGATTTTCTATGTGTGTCTGTCATTTTTGTGTTTGGTTTTTTTTTTTTTGTTGGTTAAATTAAACAATTATCTTAAAGATTTGGAACGGTTAGACGGAAATTTAAAATTTTTCAACCGTAATTCAAATCGGTTTTTTTCTAGAAATCCTTAGGATGCACACATTTCTCATTGGACTTCATTCATAAGATTGCATTCACAATCGATGTACAAAGTAAATAAATTCGTATTTTTTATTTCAATTTTTTTTTTCAAATGTTCCAAAAACGCTTCGAGTGTTGTTAAAAAAATTTCACCGGAAACTCATTTAGATAATTTCTTTTTCGAAAACTGAGCATTCGGCGGAAAAAGCAATTGAGCCCCCGAAATGTTTCACAATTAAAAAGGAAAAAAATCGTTTTACGTCGTGATGAATGAGGTGCGCGAACCAATCGTAACAGCCGCAAAAGCGTGCTATTCACACCACTAGTCACCAAATAACTGAAAATGGTAAATGTTTTGTGCAATGAATTTGTAACAAGCAAATTAATAACAACAACCGATATATTCAAGTCGACTGGAAAAAGAAGCTGGAGCTGAACGACAGAACGTAGCACGAGCGACAAACAGAAGAAGAAGAAAAATATAAAGAGATACATGTACGTGTATGTATTATAGAAAGAGAGACAATATTTATAGTATATACATTTTTGTAAATATATTGACGAATTAAAAATGACAACAACAAGCAGGAATACATGCTTAGGCACGAAGCTATCGAGCGGCACATAAATGAAGTGCTTGTTGCACACAAGTACAAATTCCATAAGCACGCCCGACCGACGATTCAACATTGAACTCTCTTCTAGAGAAACAGCACAATGTGTGTATATCGGCGTTTTTTTGCTGACACAGAGAAGCATTCTGAACGAAAAGAAGAGGAAAAAAAAAACATTCCAGTTGCCAGTGGCCAGTGAGTGTATAGAGTGAGAGAATATACACAGCCACCATATGATATCGTCACAAATGAGGCACACTGTTGCTGATTTTGTGCCGTGTATGCGCGCGCGTGTGTGTGTGTGTGTGTGTGTGTTTGGTATTTTGGAGTGTCGGTATATCTCACTCTCTGGCTGCTCGGCCTTTGATAAATAAGAGCGCAAAAATTCATTGATGGTGCAAAAGTGCAACAAGTACATAACACACCAGACACAAAAATCTACTTGCGTTCCTGATGGATGTGACGGATACGAGGCCGGAGAAAATATTATCGAGAGAAAGAGAGAGAAATGAAGCAACAACAGTTTCATTTCAAAAATATATTTCATTTTCGGCGACGGATGATGCAGCAGAATGTGTGCTCGGATCGGTTGGTGACTTTTGTACCCGACAGTAACAAAAACTTCATTGAATACATAACGCACGAGAAATGTGGCGCACACTCAACCAACTTGAACTAGATATTCCAAAAAAGAATTATCGGAACGAGATAAAACTCGCCGTTTTATTTCATTTTACTTTCTATGTATACTCCCCATTAAGTATTAGCTCACTCTTGGATCGTGCTAAGTATTGCATAGCATGGAATATTGAATGTGCAAAGGTTTTATTTTCAAAAAAAAACAACAACACAATACAGAGCCCAAAACAGAATCTTGGCGGGTGCCAAGTACGGACTAGTGGTTACTCAAATGCGTTTGAGAGTAACTTGTAATATCTGTTCGGGGAATAAAATCGTTAAACTTTGGCTCAGCACATAATATTTCATTGCGATATAGAAAGAAATCGAATGCAAAAGAGCACATAAATACTTCGAAAAACCATTCAAGCTGTAAATTACACGTCAGACGAATTTCGAGCTTCCTATTTCGAGCAAACAGCAAAAATGGAGAGAAAAAAATGTATGTAATCAACCATGGCATTCAATCACGTGTACACTGGGCCCAAGGGAAAGAGAGAGATAGCGAGAGAGAGAGAGAGATAGCGAGAGAGAGAGAGAGATAGCGAGAGAGAGAGAGAGAGAGTGAGAAAGAGTAAGGAGAGCGTACACCGTACACATTCGTTACATAGTCTCTGTCGCTTATCAATGCAATATCTATTGCAAGTCAACAATTTAGTAACGACATGTTCATCCCATTATTACTATTATAAATCATCAACAACATATTAATATCAAACAAATCTTCATTGCAGGCCAACGAGGATTTAAGTCATTTTCGATATGTGAGCACAATTTGATTGACGCAAATGATTGGCCACACACAACACACATACACACACAAAGCATTAAAGGAAAAAAAAGGGATGGCAAAATGCAGGCAATATCATCATCATCATCGTCGTCTAATCGACAAATGAGCAAATATCGGGGTTTTAGCATGTTTATCACCGCAGGAAAACATTTACAACCGATATGAATCGTACAATGAAAGAGTATATAAATGAAAATAGCAAACAATTTTATATCTGGCAACAAGTTTTTTTTTTGTCCCATTTCATTCATTTGATAAATATTTGCCGTCTTAGTGTACGACCCAAACACGTTTGGATCGACGCTTTTAATGCATCTCTATTTATCAGCTGATACTAGTACACTGTCGAATTGACGAATTTTGTGTTGAGCTACTTTCGATGGATTTCATTCCATGGCTCATGATGAACTGATCGGTTACTCTTTCATTATCTTGATAATCACCTTGGAAATGTTTACTTTTCCTTCCATTTTTTTTCAAGTGTCTCTTGAGTTCCGTGACTATCTGGAGAGAGAGAGAGAGAGAGAGAGAGAAAAAAGAATCACACACCCAAGACCGAAAAATTCAATACATCGGTTTTCCCAATCAATCGAGAAAAAAATTCAATTAATTTTCGTCCGAAAATAAAAATCGGTCATGTGCTGTCATTGTCTCAAAAAAAACCCACAGCAGCAGCAAAAATCAAATTAATTACGTTTGGATTATTGCCGCGATAATTGTGATCATACAACATTCCAAACATCTGAATCCGGTGTCACTTGGATTCATTTTCTTCTTCTCTCTTCCCTTAATATTCACTTTCTGTGCAAGTTTTTGCTGCTTCATAACACACACACACACACGTTATTCTCTCCGCTCCATTGATATACAATTCAAAGTGGAAAAATCTTGTTTGGAATCGTAATCAAGCCGTGTGTGTGGTTCGTTGTAAAACGCAATAGATTATATTGTAGTTGGTATATCTACGTTTTTACATGGAAATTGAATTGACAGTGCGAAAAAAAAAAGAAGAAATGAATAAAATGTCAAAACCACAAAAATAGGAATCAAGTGATAATGCTTCAACACTCTAAACAATTTATCGCAGCACGGATACAAGCCAATATATGTGCGTGACGTTGTCTCACTTGTTCAAATTCATTTGTCGTTCTTTCCCCATCATTCAATTCTTTATTATTATTCTTTGCTATTCTCCTAAATAGAATATCAATATGGGCGCGCGTACGGATTATTTTTATATGGATTTTTTCCTCTATTCGTCGTTTTACGACGAGAACTGTTTGCTCTTTTCAATTTTACAAGAGCGCGCGGCGCGCACATAATGATATTTTTCATAACAACGAGCCGAGGGTTTTTTTTGTTGTCAGTTGATGCCATCTCCGCATTTCTCTCCCATCGAACTGGTCAATTCCAGTAGCAACACACAACCAACAATGTGTATGATGACCCTCGACTTTTTGCCTATGCGAAAAATGCGACACACGGTCAACAGGAACACAATTTTCAAAATTCCAATCATAAAATCTAACAAAGCGAAAGAGGAAGAGATTTCAAAGGAATGTTTTTACGTCAAATGCTTGAATAACAATACCCCTTTGGCAATCTCTCTTTCTTAATAAATATGTCATTCATGCGCGTTTTCTTTCTCGCGGCTCAACGATTTCGATTGAATGCACTCAACACTGTTGAATCAACAAAGTTTGATTTTTTTTTCCGTTTTGCATTGTGTTGCACATTTTTTTTATCGTTGAAATCTTATTTATATCGATAAAGCGATCAATTCAATTTGCAGTGTGCCATTTCTGGAGTGAATTCGTGCAACAAATGAATAAACAGCGTAAACATACTTCGAAATACCAGCCACACTGTTCGCATTTACATTTAACACTCTATTAAATGCATTCCATGTGTGTATGAGAGGTAGAAGGAGACATATGAAAAAAAAACTTTATGTCTCCTTCTACCAATTCCGAATCTGGCCTCGAACGAGAACCAGAGATTTGGTATTCGCCATCCCAATATTGCAAGCAATACTGAGACAGCTGACCGGCACATGATTTTATCATCGCCTCTTGACTGGGAGCACAAGTACACGGACTTGCACAACCAGCGGTCAATAGTATAGCGTTTTGGAAACGCTATATACTCAAATCGGTAGATTCAAGATTTAGCGAATCGTAAGCACCGACCAAAATGAAAAATTTCGTCGGCTGACCATTCACACTGTGCAATACGAGTGACTATCTGTAGCATCGCTGAGTCTTTCTCTCTTGCTCTCTCGTAATAGAGTGATCAACATGTACATGCACAGTGGCAACGATTGACACAGTGTAAATGGACGGTCGACGAAATTTTTGATCT